ATGTAGCTAATTTTTTCGCTAAGTGATTGACTATTTTACACTTTCAATATTAGGTGAAAAATCCATCATGTGGATTTTTTTAATTTTAAATAATTTAAAAACTATTTTAATTCTTAATTTTACTTTATTTATATTTAAAAATTAAAACAATTAATATATTTTCCCATTTAATTAGTCCCACCTACCATAAATAACTCTTAATTTATAAAGAAATAAATTAACTCTTATTTAATTTTATTAAATCAAATCTCACCTACTATAATTATTTCTTAATTCATGGAAGAATCAATTAACTTTTATTTAATTTTATTAAATGGAATTTAATTATGAAAGAATCAATTAGGAATTATGTCATGCCTCAAACCCGAATTCAAGGCGCGACAAACTCCGTGCACTCGTGAGTGGGTCCCACAAATGCACAATGCTCAGAACTTATCCAATTCACATCTGATACCACAAAAATCTGAAGATCAAATTTTGAAACTTCTCTGATATCATAAAATCTCCAATCACAATCTAGCTTACAATATCATCATTTATATCTAAGATCCATATTCAAATTACAGGTGGCTAGCCTTCTAACTCGTCACTCCCCTTGATTTCCTCGTCCTCGGTTTCACTTCTTGAAATGGTGGACAAGGAAAACTATGAGATAAACTCAGTAAGCAAATATGGATAGCCCTTGGGTAAAAATGTAAACATGCCAGATAAACCATGAAAGTATAACAGAACTTTCACTGATAAACCGTTAATGCGGAAATCAAATTCGGTTCAATAGCAAAACGTTCAATGACAAAACCATCAATGCAAAAATCAGATTCAGTTCAATGACAAGACGTTTCCTGACAAACCGTTAATGCAGAAGAAAACTCAGTTCAGTAGTCTCATCTATAAGTCATGGCCAGTGTTATAACAACCCACGGGCAGGCGACAGAAATTTGCCAATGTATTCGCCCAGTGGCAGGCGTCATATCAGTAAACATGTCGACATGTGCTAGCGTTACACCCACTAGCGGGGATCAGAAGTGCTAGCGTTACACCCACTAGCGGGGATCAGAAGTGCTAGCGTTACACCCACTGGCAGGGATCGGAAGTGCTACACACCCACTAGCGGGGATCGGAAATCATGACTATATCAGAGACAAAACCATGCAGGATTTACAAAGGAAATCCGTAATTCACAATCGAAATCCATAATTCACAATCGAAATCCCAAATTTCAGAAATAACCAGAAGATTCCATGTGGGCATGGATTTAACAGAAAATCATAATTTACAAAAATTCTTAAATCATCAGAACAGTTCAGTAAGTTCCAAATAGGCATGCTCTACTTCAGAAAAACAATGAAATCCCCATTTTCATTCCAATCATGCTTAATTCCAGTAAAACAATGAAATCCTCATGAAAATCATCAAAATTCTCTTTTCAGTTTAATCACACTCAGATGCTGATAAAATCAATTTAAACCTTACCACCATCTCAAAAACAATTTAAAACATACTTTAAAATCGGAGGGCTTTACCATAATTTACTTACCTCACTCGCACAGGACAGAAGGCTAACCCAAGTGCTACTGTGACAGAACGATCAACACCTAATCACAATATTCCACAATTAATACCGCACAACCACAAATTCACAGTAAAATCATCTTTAACACTACCCCTAATCACGGTGCTATTTCTATCAATCTCCACATAACTGAACATCTCCAAATTCATTCTTATATCACAAACTAAACCTTTAAATCTCTGCTAATCGTTAACCCTCGGTGTGTGAACAGTGCCTATGAACAGTACCCGTGAACAGTAACTTCGACTCCCAAAATTGGCAAAACATAGCTAATCTCACGGGATTTTTCTCCAAAATCACACAACCCAATTCAAGCTAATTTCCACATAAATTAAACAAAAACCCACTCAAGCTACCAACTCCCGGGATAGAAAAATGGAGAAAATGGCTCGGCAAATCCACACTCACACCCGGGATTTCTCACACAAAATATCAAAGCAGCTAATTCAAGCTAAATTCTACATAATCCAGCTTAAAACACATTTAATTCACTGCCAATTCTTCCCCGGTTTTGACAGAAAATTCGGACAAGAAAGCAGCAGCTACATGTATAAATTCCAACTACTAAATGGGTAAAATTCAGCCTTGGAGAAACTAGCACATACCAGAATTCCCTTCTTTTTTTTTCCGGCCAACAGAACCCGCACCAGGCGAGCATGGGGCTGACGGGATTGCAGGGGGGGAGGCTCACGGCTCTACCAGAAATTGGAAGGGAATAAAGCAATTAAAGTAAACCCAACCTAAATCAAGGTTAAAGAGAGGGATTCATGGCTAGATCTTACCCGAAAAACCGAAAATCTCACCCACCCAAGAGCAGCCGACGGACAGGGGAGAAGAGCAGAGCAGAACCGGGATTTTCTGGGTTCAACAGGTGTTCTAAAACAAGAAAATAGGGAGAAATCCCTAAGCTTTGCCGGTGTTCCGGCCGGAAAATGGGTGGCGGTAACGGGGGGAAGCTCGTCGGGTGCAGAGGGTCGGGGGAGAGGAAGAGCAGGGCACGCGGGTCTGATGAGGAGGGAAAGAAAGGAGGAAAAAGAAAAAGAAAAAGTAATTCATCCTTATCCAAATTTCCTTTCTTTTTAGCCCCTCAACTTTTTAAAATTGTACGATTAAGCCCCAAAACAATATTTTTCCTCAAATAAGTTCCCAATTAAATGCTAAAATACCCAAAATTTTGGGATATTACAAAATAATAACAGTTTATTTTAATAATTTAAATAAAAAAGAAGGTCGGGGATGAAGAACCAAAAAATTATTTTAATTTTATTTTAATTCCATTCAATAAAATTAAATAAAAGTTAAATAATTCTTCCATGAATTAGGAAATAATTATAGTAGGTGAGATTTGATTTAATAAAATTAAATGAGAGTTAATTTAGTTCTTTATAAATTAAGAGTTACTTATGGTAGGTGGGACTAATTAAATGGGAAAATATATTAATTGTTTTAATTTTTAAATATAAA